GTATTGTGGTCACAGCAGGGAGGTGTTAAGTTTTTTTTTTTTTTTTTTTCCCCTGTTTCAATGAAGGAAAAGCAGAGCCTACTTTAGAGGATACAGTGCTTATTTTGTCTGTCAAAGAGTGGCAGATCTTGGATTTCTTCAGTCTTGGAGATGAGTCTTCAACTCTGCCCTGGAGTTAACTGTTCATGACTTGAACTGAGGTAGAAAATACAAACACCTGTGGGGACTATAAATACTTCAGTGCTGAAGTCTCCTGGTGTTACAGGGAGAGGACACAGGACACCATCCTTCCTTGTGGTGGGAGGTCCATGTTGCATGTCACAAGCAAGAGCTAGGATTCAGTGCGTGCAAACAGGATAACAATATCAGCTTATATGTAACATATGAAGATGTATAGAGCAAGGATGGCTCACAGCAGGAACTGCTCTGTGCTGTGTACCTGCCTGCTCCAGCGAGCAAAGGGCATTTGTGACCACTCTCAGATGTTCAGAGTTGCTCCTACAGCTGGGCTCTAGGTCAGTGCCTGGATAGAGGGTAGGTTTAGATTAGATATTAGGAAGAAGTTCTTCACTGTGAGGGTGGTCAGACACTGGAACAGGTTGCCCAGAGAAGCTGTGGCTGCTCCTCCCTGGAAGTGTTGAAGGCCAGGTTGGATGAGGCTTTGAGCAACCTGGTCTAGTGGAAGGTGTCCCTGCTGATGGCAGGGGGGTTGGAACTAGATGAGTTTTAAGGTCCCTTCCAACCCAAACCATTCTGTGATTCTATAGATTCATGTTTGTGGCCAAGAAAACTTTATACTTGCATTTTTTTTTTGGTTGGAGACTAGTGCCTTGGTCATAAGGCAGTAACATTTCATCATATGTTTTTTTGGTAAGATGAACCTTAGCCAAAAGCGAAGAGTATATGCGAGCATGATACGTGTAATAGTTCACAATGGCCTGCAAATGCACATGAAAATCCAAAATCCTTCTGCATCTGCTGGGCTTTACACTTCCAGTCCTTGCTACTTCCAGTCTCTTCTGTTTCTTTTCTTTCAAAGCTGCTGCCGAGGCCTCTGAAAGACCAAAAAAGTGCCAATTTAGGAGGGAAAAAGTGGCTCTTGTGAAGCACAGACCTCCAGCGTGAGGTTCAGCTGTGTGATGCTTACTTCTATTTTCCATCTGAGGAGACTACCAAGCGTTCTGCGCAGCCTGCCCGCTGCTGCTGGGCTCCTGTTGTGCCTCTTGCTTCTGAAATCCAGCTTTTGTGAAGTCTGTGATTATTTTTAGAAGTGTAGCTTCCTCCTTGTGACCACCAAGTGGTGCTCTGCACTGCACCTTGCAGCAAGGCAAGCTGTTGGCATTTTGGGATGGGGGGGTTGAAAAGCTGTTTTCAGAAGTAGGAATGAGCTAGAGAGGAGGAAGAAACAAGTCAAGAGCTCTTTCTTTTCCCCTGGCAGTGGCTGTGCTACGAGAATTACATTATTCACATCTTTATGCTGTGGCTGTGTGATGATTGATGTAATTTAGTGATGATCAGATGGGATAAGTAGTCTTGGCACTTTCAATTTGGGTATTGAGCTTGGCTGCCTGCTAGACATTGGAGGTACAGGGGTGGCTATCTGCTGCTTCAAAACTAGACCCTGGCAGGTGTCTCTGATCTGACCTGCTAGAATCACAAGAAGCTTTTAAAAACCTTGTCCCAGACTAGTTTTTCAGAGATAAAAAAAACTAATTCTTGTTTTCTCTTGGCATCCATCTATGGAAAACCTGTTCATGTTCCTGCTCTCTGGTGTGCTAGCTCTTTAGTGTCTTTGCTATTGAAGTTTGTAAATGTTTATAGCCGTGTTGCTCTCAGCAGAGGCAAAAGACCTACATTAACTTGTCTTTGCAGGTTTCCTGCAAGCACTCTCCAGGTGCCATTCTCAGGTTTACAGAAGCTGTGTATTTTGTATGAAAATATGCAGTTTGATAGAAAATATTCTTATGTTGATTTGAAATGATGGGCACATTATAAGACAGAAACTGCCTATAAAATATAATGGGAATTTAAGGGGCTAACTATATCCCTGTGAGCTCCATTAGATGCTCTACATGGTATAATTGTTTGCAGGAGTGATCGTTCCTTTCCAGGTACTGAAAGCCATGCTATAGCAGGATGATGCAGCTCAATTCAAACAGCAGCTTATTTGTATGAAATGCAGGGCTGGAATTGAAAGGTGGCAAACGGGCTTGTCTTGTCTGGTGAGCTGGAAAAAAACCATGCAGTGTTTTAAAGCAAATCCTTGAATTAGAAGGAAAGGAGATGCCATGTAATAGCACAGTGAATGCCGTGGTTTTATAATGTGCACTGATTTCTCTAGGTGTTCCAGTCTGTGAAAGAGAGGTCAAAGGAAGGAGGCCAGCTCCCCCCGTTAATTTTAGTGATAGGACAAGGGGTGATGGTTTTAAACTGAATGAGGGGAGATTTAGGAAGGAAGGAAGAAATGAGGAAGAAATTTTTTTCAATGAGGGTGGTGAAACACTGGCCCAGGTTGCCCAGAGAGGTGGTAGAAGCCCCATCCCTGGAAACATTCAAGGTGAGGTTGGACGGGGCTCTGAGCAACCTGATCTGGTTGAAGATAGATGTCCCTGCTCACTGCAGGGGGGTTGGACTAGATGACCTTGAAAGGTTCCTTCCAACCCAAACCATTCCATAATTCTAGTTCAAGTCAGATAGCCACCAACCAAATAGCTTCCCCAAAGTTCCCTGCTTTGTTTGTTGGGTGTTTTGTGGAACAGTTGTGCTGGAGTGTCATTGCATCCCACAGCAGAAAGGAGAAGAGTGAAGCATCCCCTGCTTTACTTACAGCAGGCAAGGTCTGTGCAGCCCCTCGGGTGTCCTACCTCAGCTGCTCCATCTCATTGCAGCATCTGTAACCTATATGATGTACAACTCCAACAGAAATAAAAGGATATTTAGATAACAAATGTTGGTTTTGCTGGATCATTAGTTTTTAAAATGGTCTTAGACCCTCAGATGCAGGGTGATGGGCTCTCCCTGTGTGAGTACATCAGGAGGAATTTTTTCTATAGGGCTGAGCAGAACTTAATGTAAATTAGACAAAGTGCATAATTATTATGTTTTAGTTTTCAGCTTTGAAAAACTAACCATCAGAAATTCAAAACATGTCATTATTCCAGATGCTACCTTTTCATGGTGGGTAGCTCCATTAGCAGCTGTTAGAGAGCTCAGATACAAATTCTGTCTCGGGAAGTCCTTGAGTCCTTGATAACTAAAAGCTGGGAAGAGAGACTGTGGGGAGACTGGCTCTGTGTGTCCCCTGCTCTGGTCTTTCTTCAGCCTCTGTGGCTAGTTGTGGTCAGAAATAGGATGTGGGCAGAAAGGGCCTTTGGTTTGATCCAGTATAGAACCATTTTAGGTTCTAGCAATGAAATATGGCTTAAATATTTATCTCTCTATGTGGTCACAGAGCAGTTGGCTTTGGAATAAGATGGGTATCTCCTCTAGTGGAGAATTCCCTTAGGGATTCCCTTAGTGTCACATTTATCTGCACTCATGTGATGTGTTGGCTGTGCTGCCTTCTTTCCCATACTGAGTTAAGTCTTCGTTGGTCATACCTTTGTCTGGTGTAAATTTGTTGTGACAGGAGTGACGGTGTAAACCTGCTGAGGATCACTGCCATCACCCACACCCAAGAGCCTATCTGCCAGCACACATCAAAGCCAGATGCTTTTTCTGGAGGAGAGGCCGTATCGGTCTAATTGGGCTGGAAAGCAGCGTCCTTTGCAGAGCTGTGAAAGGCCTAATACAAGTTAAAAATAGAACTTACTTATTGCTGCCTCCAAGATTGGAAATCAGGGAAATAGTTCTCACTTGAGTTGAAATTAGTTGAGCAGAGAGCACTGTGGTTATATCTGCCCAGGCATTTGTACACGTGCTTGTTTGTACTCCGCTATTGGAAAGCAAAATAACAGTATTTCCTACTAATGCATTTGATACTGTAAGGCAACCTCTCTTGGTTACTTAGCAACTTCAGAGGGTGATGAGCTCTTCTAAACGAACCCCTTTGGGTGTCTTTCCTGTTAGACAACAGGCACAAGTTCATTCAGCTGGTCTGCCTTTGGAGAAGGGCTATCAGCTGGCTGTCGTGGTGCTCACCTGTAGAGATGTATGAACCTTCTGTCTTGTGGGATCTTTCCTGATGTTGCTTTTGTGTCTCCCTGGCCAGAGGGTGAGGAAGAGGAAGAGGATGAAGAGGAGGAGGAAGAAGAAGAGGAGGAAGAGGAAGATGAGGAGGACAAAGACATAGATTCGATGGATGAAAGCATGGAGGGTGACACGGAGCTGCCAGGTTTCACGCTTCCAGGCGAGACCTCCCAGGAGCCCTTAGCTGGCCTGGAAAACCCTGTGGCCCAGCTGGCTGGGGTGTCCTACCAGGTTCCCGACAGTATCGAGTGGGAGCAGCAGAACCAGGGCCTGGGTAAGAGAAAAAGCACCTTCTTCCTTTAACTTTACAGAGGATGTCTCCTGCTCTTCTGTTTGTATGGGACAGCCCCTCATGCTGGGAGGTCTCATGGGTTGGCTCTCAAGCTAAACACACTTCTGAGTTCATTTCTGAGGAAACCCCATCCACCAGTGATGACTGGTTGAACTGGGATGGGTCCCAGGCAGTGTGACATGAGTTTTCATTTTGGAAAGAGCTGCTCTGAATAATCCAGACCTGCTCCTTCATTCCCAGAGTTTAGTGTTGTGTTGCTCCAAGGGTGCACAAATAAATGACTTCTCAGGTGAGATTCCTGGCAAAATTTCAGTTCCCTTTGCCTGAGATGGGTTTGTGCAGGGATACACGTCCTGTGAGGACAAAACGAGTTGGGTAGTAGCTGATCAACCCGTTTACTACTTCAGCAGCATTTTTATAAGTGCCACTTTTCTGGCATTTTTAAGGGGTGTGTGGTCCAGGCATGTGACCCTGTGCTGGCAGTGTTACTCAAGACAAACCTGCAAAGCCTCTATAAAGCTTTGTACATTTTATTCCCACAGTACATATAGGCCTTGTGGTTAATGACTGGACTAATTAATTCCACCCTGGAGTAGTTTATCAGTGTTTATATTTGTGATGTCCAACTGATGCGAATCAAAGCTGGTGTGGGACAAGGTAGAATATAGAAGAGAACTTGCCCAGCTTGGTTAAGGACACTGGGATAATTTCCCAGCATGCTCAATTTCCAAGCCAAGCCCCATCAAAAGTAGTGGGTACCTTTCAGGTGAATTGGTGGGAGTTAAGCGACATCTACCCAGAAGGTCTCTGTGTCTGACTATTAGGGAACTAGCTGTTTTGAGAAGCTCATCAAATAAAGAAACCCCAAAACTCTTTTATATGTTGTATTGTAAAAGCCACCACTTCTGGATGTTTAATTTTGACTTAACCTGGTGGTTCTCCCCCTGTAGTGCTGTTTCCAGCCTGCTTTAGTGTTGTTAGCTTCCTTTGAATTGAATCAAAGAGCGTATTTCAAGAACTCTGTGGGAGGGTTGCTCTTTGAGGGCAAATTGAGTTTGCATCAGGTCTGATATCTCCCTGTCTCACTAACTCTTGCTTGAAAAGCATCATATTGGATGGTTGCCATGTCAGATCTGTTTCACATGTCATGTTATCCCATCAGACTGGACAGGAGCTGTGTGAGGGGAATAATTCTAAGTCTTCAAGGCTTTCTGGTTGGCTTTGAGCCAGATTAAAGAGGTACATGATAGTGTTCAGAGCAAAGTTTGTAAGAAACATAGGGTTATGATGGGAGTTGCATCAGCAGCTTTGTGTTCTTGTCTCACTTGATTCCTTGGTGCAGGATCTTTGTGATGCCTGGAGAGAAAAAGCGAGAGGAGCAGCGTATTTTCTCCACTTAGAGGTGCAATGGGCAGGCTTGGTCAGCTCTGTACGACGGCTGGCACTAGTGAGAAGGTAGCATTAAGCTGTTGACCATTTAAAGCTATTAAGTTCTTGACCATCTAAAGCTACATGCCTGGTTCAGAACCGTAAGTACTAGGATGGATGGCTTTGGCAGAGCTTTGCCAGTGAAACCTGGTGAAGGTGCCAGTGCTTTGTAAAGTGTTCAAGAGAGGCAGCATTTTGCAAACTCTGAGGTGTGTCCACACACACCGGCCATCACGTTGTGCAGCATGGAGGAAGATGGCACTGATACCTCTTCAGGAATCTTGGTATATTTAACCATCCCAGCTAGGGTGGTTGATGCAGTGTCATCTGGCGTGGGTCTCCGGAGGTCTCTGAGGGAGCCCTGTTCCCAGAGCAGGGTGCAATGGTTAGTTTGTCTGGAAGGGTGCCTAGAATCTGCTGAAGATGCTGTTGTAGATGACATAGGCTGTTGCCATGAACTTTGGGGCTACAGGGGAGGTTGTTCTGCATAAGACATCGGGTGCATCTCTGTTGATAGCTGATGCAGGTCTGAACTGGAATCACGGCTGCGTTTCCATCCCTGCCATCATCTCTGCTGGAGGAAGAGGCTCCAGGTAGGAGATGCCTATCAGATGCGTTGGTAAATGAGGCAGGTTAGAAAGCAGTGACCAGAGGCTGAAGCTGTCCCTGGTCTGCAGTAAACCTCTCTGGCTGGAGAGGCTGTAATAATTGTGAACAGAAAATAAGCAGGCCTGGGCTATGAAACAATATGTAACTTCTGACACTCCTTGAGTAGTAGCATCTGTTATGAGGTCCCATTTTCCTTGGCAGAGCCATGCTGGAGGATGTACTTTGCAGTATCTCTTCCAGAGATCTGTTCTGAACATAAGTCCCCAGTTCAGTTTCTGATGTTTAGTATTGCATCATCCTGCAGCCTTCACCCTTCATCACCTTCTCTCTTTCGTAGAACTTGGAAAGGCCACCTTTCCAAAATTTCAGACATGGAATAAATTGACTGTGTGGCAAAAGGCAATTTTTTTCTCCTTAACTTATGTTTTATTGACCCTCATGCAAACTGGGGGAGCCCTTGTGACTTCTGTCAAGGTAGGTCAACTGTAGAGTGCCAAGTCTGAGCACCTGAAGGACTGAGTGGGTGTGAATTTCTGTGTTCTCTGGAAGTGCCTGGCTGGATTATGTGTCACCAGATCCAAATGGTTTAGATTGTCTTTTATTTTTAAACTGTTGCAGTCTGTGCAAGCATCTGTGAGAGAGAGGATGGGGCTGTGGCTGAGCTGAGTTCATCTTCAGGAGTGAGATGGGACTTCTGTGCAGTGGTGTTGTAGGTGAGAGAAGGGAGGACACGGTGGGACCAGTCTCTGCTTGTGACTCACCCCTCTTATTCCACTCAGTAAACACTTAACATAAAAAGCCATTTATTCTTTTTCTGTCTAGATGACTTTAATGGCTCTTTGATATTGCTTCCTTCCCCATCTAGAATGTGCTGCTACCCACAGTGCTTCTAACAGGAAGGGAAATTATCCATGTTTTAGAGGCACAAAGGAAATGAAGGACTTGCATGAGCTCACACCAAAAATCTGAGGCCAAGCAAGGAGTTGAACCCAGATGTTTGAAGGGCTCGTTTGCTGGGATTACCTGGGGAATGGGAGATGCTCTTGCCTCATCGTAGTGATGCTGGGCTCCTTTTCCCTGAGGTGCTGCTGCAGTAGGGTAGTGCTTCCCCTCTTCCCAGTCTGTGCCAGGTGGGAGTTTCTGCCCTGGTTCCCTGGCCCTGGCTGTGTGGGCACATGCTGGGCTGCCTCTGTGTCCATACTGGTGTCTATACCTGGTCCTAGTTAGGTGTTTCTTTATGGGGTGTGTTAGGGAGAACGGGAAGGGTGGAAAAAATGTATATCTCATGTCAGTTGGAGGTGGATTGTTAAGAACAGAAGAAATCCCCCACACATGGCAGGAGGCCAGAAGAGCTGCCCACATCATTCTGTTGGAGCACCTGGAGAGACCAGACTCAGTGCAAAGGGCTCGTTAAGCTTTATATCTGCTGGACATGTGCATGGACTATTTCTCTTTGAAACCTTTTTTCTTGAAGTGCTTTTCATCTGAAGCTACCTCTTTGAAATCCATTTCCTTTAAGCCCTTTTCTTCTAAAGTTAAAATTAACTTGACTTTAATTTTAAGACAGCTTCCTAACCACTGGACGTCCCCAGACACAGTGTCCCTGGAGCAGGGATCTGCAGTTCTGATTGCAGCTGGGTCAGGGGCACTGTGCTCCTGCCTGTCTCAGCCCACAGTGTGTGTCTTTGTGCATCCCAGGGAAGAGCCCTACACTTCCCTTTGCCAAATAGTGCTCAGATGGGAAGAATTTCCCATCTTGTGTGAGTGAAATATGCTTTAGAGAGAGAAGTTGTTCTGCTTGACATGGGATATGGCACAGGAAAAAAGGACTTGAAGAAAGATAGCGGTACCCAACAGAGTACAAGATGAGGGTACACCATCTAGGCACCAAACTTCTACAGTTGGCATTTTCCATCTTTAAAATATTTTGCACATAAGTCCTTCTCCTGGGGATGCATCTGTCCTCTGGCCTTCAGAATTTTGACATTTGATGCTAAAATTTATAGTACAGAAGAGCCCAGAAGTATTGGAGTAGCTATTCTCAGGTCAGTTATTACTGTGTTTGCTTGGTCTGATGGCTGACACATTGCAAATCCCTAGAGAACCAAGTAACTTGATCCACAAACAGCTTGGCAGAGCACGGCACAGTTAAAATTTTTGTAGTGGTCAATGAGAAAGTGCTGGAGAAACAGAATCATTAAAAATGTCAATTCTGGGAAGTCAGATGGTCCTACATTAACTCCAGCTGAGCAAAAGCAATTTATATGCGCCGGTAATGAGGCTGTTAGGTTTACAGTCCATCAGCTGACTCTCTAACCAGCAATATTTAGACAAAAAGTAAAGCAGATGATGGTTTCATCCATGCCTTTATAAAACAGAATTTAATCCTCCAAAAGCAGTTCTGATGGCCTGCAGCTCTGGAGAAGGAAGGTCTGAATATGCTTTGAGATCTCTTTTGGTATCCTGTTCAAATGCTTTATCTTCAGAGGTTGCCAGTGAAGAACATGGCAGACCTCTCTGCATTGTGTGTGAGATGACTTTGACCTTTGTCTACGTGTTTCTTGATTTGTATGTAGGTGGTGTGTGGTAGGTGAACACTAACTGTTTGGAGAGCATCAGAGGGGCAGGAAACTTGGGCTTTCTGGGAATCAGTAAAAAGACATAAATTTTTCCCTGCTACCTCTTTTGTGATTAAGAGTTTATGTGCTACCAGGAGAACTGCAGTTGGTTTAGATGGATTCAAACCCAGTGAACAGTTTCTGGGTCCTTTAGTTATTCCTTATGAATGTTAAAGTAGATGGTCTTTGTTGTATGCCTCCATAGAGATTAAGGCTCTCTCCTTCTGTGTTGGTGGTGGCTACTGTGACTGTGCTCTTCTCCCACTTCTTAAGAGTATTTATTCTCCCAGTATTTGTGAGAATCCTTATTTTACAAACCTTGAGCCA